ACAAACACAGAGGTCCAACACAAGCATACAGATCCAGCACAAACAACAAAGTGACGCACAAACACCCACCTGGAGCATCATCACTGCCTCTAATGTTATTGCCAGCACACAGACACACATACTAAGACCAGGGCCTCCGCCACCGAGTCCGGATCTGTAATCAGTCAATCGCAAGTAATCCCTTGACTGCCTTAGCGGGGGTTACCTACAATATTCCCAGATGATGGAGAAGCCTTGCTTGCTTCAATATAATATTACTGTAATATTACAATTATTCCATTGAAATGGTATAATATTGCTGCAATGTATATATGGCAGATGAAATAAAGAATTGTTGGAATATATTTTTGCTGCTGTAAAAGATAAATATTGCGAACTAATATTGGCACAATATGATACTGGTGCAATATTGGTGCAATATAATACTGGTGCAAAATATTACCATTCTTTGTCATAATATTGTTGCGATATAATGGTATTGTGAAAATATTACTGTTAAATAATATGGTTGTGACTTAATATCGAGCTGACAGTAATACTGTGCATAGCTCACACACACACACACACACACGCACACGCACACACGCACACACACACACACACACATACACACAATGAGCCAAAAGTGGTGGCCTCGTGACTGAGTGGACAGCACTAAGGAGTCGTAGTCCTAAGGGTCCTGGGTTCGATTTCCGACCGATGCAGAAACAAATGGACTGAGTTTCTTTCACCCTGATGCACCTGTTAGACAGCTGATATGAGCTGCTTCCTGGGGATGTGTGCGCGCGTGTATTAGAAATATATGTAGCATAGAAAAATATTTCAGGTTCAAATCGTAAATACACACACGCCCACACTCTGAAACCTTTACACCAGTTGAGAGGCGGGACGAAAGAGCCCCTCATGCCCCCGGACCTTTTCCCCGGGCCCCTTCATGCCCCCGGACCTTTAGCCCGGACCCCTTCATGTCCCCGGACCTTTAGCCTGGGCCCCTCCTGCCTCCAGACCTTTACTCCGGGCCCCTCATGCCCCCCGAACCTTTACCCCGGGCCCCTGCTCAAAGGCCGCCATGACAACGTCTGTGACAACCACGACCAGGAGGTATTGACGAGTAGGAAAAGGTTAAAAGATCGTGAAACTCGGCAGGAAACTGTGGGAAAAAAGTGTGACCTTAGCTGAGACACCTTTAGTTTAGATTCCGCTCCCCCCCCCCCTTCTCTCCTCTTTCCCAACCAACATCCATCCTTCCTTCCTCTTCCCAGCTCCCTCTCCCAGCATTTGGGATGTCGGCCGCTCTCCACCTCTTCATTCTCTCCTCGCCTGGGGTCTTGGTCTACTTTCTCTCTCCCTCTTTACCTCTGCTTATTTTCCCTCTTGGTCATAAATCTGTTAATGTGTCTGCCGCCCTTCGTCGTAACTTTCCCTGATCTCGATATAGTGTTACTTCCATCTTGCTGTATTTCATTATTTTTGTTGTCCGTCCAATCTGTACTCCGTTTATTCCTTTCTGTGATATATTATCTTCGTTACTGTAGCGTGGGTTATTTACTTATATTTCCAGCCCTGTCTTGAAGTAGTTTATTTATGGATCTGGTTACCGAGTATCTTTACAGACGTCGGATCGTTGGATTGTTTCAAGAGTAGGTTAGACATAGTGGATATAAGGGAGATGCTTCTCATCGGACAAAACGTTTACAGTTTTCTCTGTTCTAACGTTTTTTTGAAATGCCAAATACTCTATTTCTTCCGTCCTCCATATTATATGCAACTTGAGCAGGCGATGAGTCACAATAACGTGGCTGAAGAATGTTGACCAGATCACACACTAGAAGGTGAAGGGACGACGACGTTTCGGTCCGTCCTGGACCATTCTCAAGTCGATTGTGTCATTCTCAACGTCGTCGTCCCTTCACATTTCGTTTCATCATACTCTGTCCTTTTTTGTTCTTCTGTCTTTTCTTCGAGTGGATATCGTTTGTACGATTGCATCATTCCTTCTTTCCATTCTCAAACTGAAAATATGTTATCACGTCTTTTCCAGCTGGAGATGAAGTTACTTCATGCACTATCTGTTGCTGCTCTCTTCTCATTGCTGTCTACCTTACCATAACACACTAATCTTATTAAGTAGGCCTATTTGTTGGTAGATTTACTAGCTAGTAGAATTATTCTACTGGTAGAATGCTGGTTCGTTGGTAGAATTGTTCGCTGGTAGAATTGTTTGCTGGTTGAACTGTTCGCTGGTAGAATTGTTAGGTAGTAGAACTAACTGCTGTTAGAGATGAGAGATGGTACATTTGCTTGCAGAACACTACTGTGCCTCCTGTAGCGTTTTCCACTGCTTTTTTTGCTTGCCTTTAGCTTTCAATTCTTCCAATTGTTCAATAAACCCTTGAACTATATGTTTAACACATCCCTAACCCTGTCCATGGAGGACAGAAGAAAATGTATATATGCTGGTTAGCATTGTTAATGTGTGGCCACGTCTGTGATAGAAAATAATAATAATAAAAAAAATTCTTCCAATTAAACCATTTTCTTTTACTCCTTGTGAATACATATTGAACAAAATGTATGAAAACCACACATATACTAAAAAAAAAAAAGAGCTTACCTCGGATTTTGCGAAACATGCATTCAGCTGGACAATAAATTCTTCATCGATAAGCCAACCCTTTGTGACTGGTTCTCGGAACTTGCTTCATGTTTTATTCCATCGGAAATCTTCATGGCCGCGGGGCCACTCATGCCTATCAGTCTCAACCGATAAATGAGATGAACAAATCCACAAGGGCCGTGACGAGGATTCGAACCTACATCCGAGATGCCTATTCATCATGCTATTGTGATTTCTGTGTGTGAGATAAATGAGATCTCTTCTTGGCGAGAAAGGACCAGAACTGAGGCGGATATTCATACACTCAGCAAGCTGTATTCCCCGGCACCTGACAGCTGAGTGGACAGCGTTTCAGATTCGTAGTCCTGAGGTTCCGGGTTCGATCCCCGGTGGAGGCGGAGACAAATGGGCAAAATGTTTCTTTCACCCTGATGCCGCTGTTACCCTGGAAACACAAAACGAAACTGTCTCTATTTTCCGCTTGTTACAACTTGTAATATAGTTGTTATATCTTGGCTTAACGTGTTTATGACGTATTAGAACGTTGTGACAACTTGCTATATTGGTTATTATAACTGGTTAGGAGGTGTTAAAACTTGTTCGAACGTTGTACCAACGTCGTAGTTTCGGTGTGTGTTTGGCGGGTACCTAGTAGTAAATACGTACCTGGGAGTTAGACAGCTGCTACGGGCTGCTTCCTGTCGGGTGAGTAACAAAAAGGAGCCCTGGTCGAGGACAGGGCCGCGGGGACGCTAAGCCCCAAAATCATCTCAAGATAACCTCAAGATAACCTCAAGATAACCTAGTTGTGAGTTGTTAAGCTTCAGTTGTCGGGTCTTTTTTTTTTAACTTTCAATCGAGTATGTTCTTGTTTTAGATTTAGCTACTAGGAACAAAAGGTTCTAAGTAGCACGGGCTATGGTGAGCCCACTTAACTGGCACAAGAGCGGGGGCTGTTTTCAACCCAGTGGAATACAGGCTCCCCAACCTTTCTGAACTTTAGTCATGCCTAACTTTGAAGGTGTGTATGGAGTATGCTTCCACCATTTAAGTTCTTAGCGTAATTCATTTATTTACTATTCTGACACTGAGCAAATATTTCCAATTTCTGTCACTCTCTCGGTTACCTTGTTTCATAACATTTCCCTTTGTTCGTGGACCGTCCATATGCTGTCATTGTCGACCCTATCTAATCCCATCAGACATTTTTGGCAATCATGTCTCCCCCTTATTTCTTATTCTTTCAGTGATCTCAGGTATAAATACTTTAGTCTTTCCTCGCAACTCATACATGGCAGCTCCTAAAAATTCTGGTGACATTCTTCTGAACTTTCTCCAGCTTCATTTCACGATTAAGGAGATCTAGGCGCCTCGCTGACGACACATATTCCTGAACTGGTCAGAGGTAAGAGATTTATAAGGCTCCTTATTCAGATTTCTAAAGATAGTTCTTATATTGCCCAACTTTGCATATGCAACGGGAATACGCGGTTGAAATGGGCTTCGTGAACTAGGGTCTGTGTGATAGCAGCCTCCATGTATTTTTTCTCTGTACGAATGCAGAGGATTCTTTCCTAATTTAGTGCCTATGCCTGGCCTTTGGTTCCCGACACCTAGCTTCATTGCACTGCACGTGACTGAGTTAAACTCTAGCAGACACTTGATAGAACATGCTTTGAGTTTGTCCAAATCATCTCGGAGGGTGTATACGCGTGTGCGTGAGCTCCACACTGGATTTTAGTTTTCCCTAATATCATAAGAATATAATTAGTAAACTGCTTTATCGTGGATTTCTCTCTCTCTCCCTCCGCACTTTTTCCCACTCCATTCGTCCCTCTCCCTCTTTTTATCATTCCCTTCATTCCTGCTCCTCCTCCTCCTGTACCTCACTCTTCCCTCGTTTGATATCATTCGCTCCTTCATTTTCTATGTCTTCCTTCCCTCCCTCCTTGTCTTGCCTCCCATTCGTCCTGTCATTCTACCTTCACTTCCCTTCCTTCCTACTCGACCTGTTTCCACTCATCCTGCGCCCCCTCACTCATCCAGTCCCACCACTCATCCTGACCCCCCCTCCCCACACTTATCCTGTCCCCCCCTCCATTCGTCCTGCCTCCCTTACCCCCCCCCCTCCCATGCTGGTCCAGCACCTGCCCGACACATTAAAGATGACTTACCAGCGACAGCCACAAGTTGATGAAATGCCGAGCACTGGCACCAAGCTTTTCACGTGACGTCATCCACAGTTTCCGACGTTCGCAGCGACACGGAGACATAGACGACGCTGAGTGACAGATGCCAGGAGCTATCACTCGGATATGGCAAGGAAGAAGTGACGTAGAAATCCCATCACTTTGCATCATCTCCATCGTGGCGTGTGGACACGTGAGGGTATATAAAAATAGCGTATGGCAACATTCAGTGACGTCATTAAGTTCAGGACTAACCCCCTCTCCCCCCAAAAAAAAAATTTACTCGCTGGTAAAAAAATATATAATCAAGAAGTTTTCG